TATATTTGTATAATTTGGGTTGACAGGACTATTGTACCTGTAAAATTTAAAGTTTTCTGTACTCTAATTAAGGCAAATGAAAGTGTCATCGATCCACTTAAATTCTACACTTAAAGCCTTGGGTAAATGATTGTCAGATTTTTATTTTGTTGCTAGGTAATCAACAAGCATACAAATTTCACTGAATCCATTTCCATATTATTATGAATTAACTTTAAGCTTATTTTCAATAGATGATAATTTTTTATTTAAATTCCGACAAAAATCTCTCAGAAAAGTTAGGAGTCAAAACTTGAGCCGTTATCCAACTAGACATCTATAGATATAATCTATGGCTGACTGTCTAGTGACAGTACAATATGACGTTAGCTTGATACCTTTATTCCAACACAAATTCACCATATAATGGTTTTTAAGATCATAAATGTATAAAGATTATTTTTTGTGTTTACTGCTTGACCTGATATTGCACAAAAGAGGACTAGATGAATAATAAAGGTAACAGCTGAACAATATTTCTACCTCTATGATTCATAGTAGAAACAAGATTGACAATATGATATAATACTGTCTCACACCTTCATTTTGATTGCCAACTAAGGTGATATTCTGTCATTGATGTGTATTCAGTCTGCATGATGAGTTATCATTGATAACTGTTTTCTTCTGTATATCACTTGGAACAGTATTCATCTCACTTGAACTGGAATAGAAAACTTATACAAATACTTTATTCTTCTGTTGGATTAAGAGCAGGTGAATTATCGGAATTGAATTCAGGTAAACTTTGCATTCATGATTATGTTGATTATAAAACTATTCAGTTCTAGATATCATTAATTTTAAGCCTCATGAAGAAATATTTTAATTTATTTTAATTTACTTTAATTTAAGTCACATGTCTTAACCTGTAGAAATAGAAACTTTGAATTGTAAATGGGGGATAAATTACCAATAATTAATGAATAATTAATGCATTACAATAAACCATACATAGAAATTACGCTTGTTATACAAAGATAGCGTGACAATCAATATAATAGTCTAATTGACTCTTTTGTTAAACCTATTATAAACTAAGACTAATTAATAGTTCTTGGATGACAGTCAAATATCATACATTAGTGTGAGTTAAAATCATTATTTATGTCGTAAGTTATAAGCCTTCATTATGGTCAAAAGTCTGAATATACATCAGAAATCATGATATTTGTCATCAGTATGATCGTTTGTCATGATATTGTTTAAAATAGAAACATCCTACAAACTTATAATTTTGTTTAATATAAAAAAAAGTATTATTTTGTCAGAAGTCTGATATAAATTGATGGAAGCATTTCTAGAGAATAAGAACAGAGTTCAGTTAAAATTTCAAAGAAGGTCCATCTTTAACAAGGTAACCTTGACAGGGTTAATCCAATTTAAACATAAAACATCCATGACTAACTTGATTGTTGATCAATTTAAGCAAGATCAAACTTAATTCATACTCAATTCAGATACTACTATAGCTTCATTGTTAGTCAATTCACTTGATTTCTTATTACTATTTTCAGTTACTAGTGGGACCTTTAATTACCCATCAGTCCCTGTGTAAATACAAATTACATGTGAACGTGATGTTTAGATGCTGTTCAATTTTAACTTTAACTCTGTACGCAACAACTACAAAGACCATTTTTCATGTAGCCGACTTCTTTGAAAAAGATTACTTGTTTTTTGTGCAATGGTATTGTAAAGCAAGTGTGATTAGAAAGTTTTACTTGATTAGTAATTTTGTAAAGGGTGAATCTTTTATGCTCATTTCTGCTTGGAATTTTGAGGTAATTTGTATCTAATTCTGGATGTTGTATGAAAAATTTGACGACAGGTAGTAGCTATTAGTTGTAGAATTAGTTAAGTCAACATTTAAACATAGTTTTTATTTTAGTCACTTAGTTTAACCTTACTTTTCTTTCTTTTGATTGTTAAGTCTTGTGGAAATGTCTGGAATTTTTAAATTTTGTGTGATTTTTTCTTATTTATGAGTTACAAAAATGGATGTTTCTAAATTCAATTTGTTTTCACATAAAATAAGGCTGCCCAATAATTCTATTTTATGGTTTTCTTTGAACCAAGGACAACCTTGTAGGTAAAATTCAAAAACTTTACCTCCCCATGGTGACATTTGCTTTAGTTTATTTGAATTAAATGAAGCACAAGAAATAATATTGGTTGTATTTGATATTTGCTGTGTGTAAAGCCTGAAATTGTTCCATAAACTTCATCCTCATAACAAGCATAAAGATGCCATTGTCATAAAAATCCAAGATAATTGAATTTGATGTCATAAAAACAACATGTTCTAATGAATCAAATTCAATGAAAGAAGATTTATAGGATAGCGGAAATTAATTGTGTCTGGCAATTTTATTTGTGACAAATGTTTAAGAGAGTCAGATGCACCTCCTGTAGTGTGCCTTAATGTAAGGGAAAGGGGAGAGAACTGTTAGTAAATGTCGTAAACAGCATGCCTTGATTGGGCATTAATATATGGAATGTTATGGTCGGAAATTAAGTGTAGTCACTTACAAATTATGGGTGTGATCTGGTCTCTGGCAGCATACCACTTGAATTATAGATGATGCTGACAGCATGTAGAAATAAATATAATTGAATGCTCACAAACCATGTTTTCAACACCAAATCAAATACAATCATTCACCAATATTGCCCTGCTGGACATTTTGGGGTGATGTCATGTTGTCAGAAACAGCCATTTTACTGTCATGTTTATGGGATGTCTCATTCCAGTCATTGTTGTATTTAACAACAAACAATAGTTGATTAAAACGTGAATTCAATGTCCGTTAGCGGAAGACTGAAATAAGTCAACAGTCCATATTTGTCTTCCACTCTAACCAGGGCTTGACCAATACGAGTGGTCAGTCATTCTGATGAGATGGCATCAGAGAATTGACAATTTCCGCGAATATTGATGGCTTTAATTAACATGTGTAAAATGTTTGGCACAAGTTGAAGTGGCCATTACTGGCTAACACACCATGCATTTTGATCATGGTTTAATGCCTTGAGAGTTGCTAGTGAGTGTGTAGTGAAGTTGAAAGACACATCTTGTCTTAGTTTGAGAGGTTGATGATTGTATTAAAAAAGAAGCAAGATGTGTCTTTTTGAGAATTTCTAGGACACTAGTTTTAAAACGTGTCTCTCTCTTACTGTCATAAAAAAAAAATTTCAGAAAGTGACAGAATGAAGTTATTCTTTACTAGTAAAGTTAAGAAGTGAGAATTTGAATCTTTGTGTCATCTGTGAATGGACTGATAAAAAAAAATACCAAAAATTAGACTTACTACAAATACTTGCAGACATTTTACTAAGGAAATTATGTTATACATCTTATTGTTATTTGTGTTTTGAGTTACTAAATTATATCAAATTAATATCAATTCAGAAGTTTTTTTGTGGAAACCTTTTCAAGCCTTCTTACTTCAACAGAATAGATATCTAATGTACTGTATCAAATATTGAACAAATACTGTTAATCAACGGAAATGCTCCATGTGTTCTGAATTTTTCAAATCATAATCTATGAGATTGATTTAATGAAGGAATTTAAAAGATTATTTTGGTGAGTTCACATGATTAAATTGCTACCTACCTTGGCATATGGTAAGAATTAAGGTCTGTTCAACTCTGTAATTGAGATATTAAGTGAATATGGCATCATATTAGTAATTTGATTCATAACTATCTGACATTTGGATTAGTCTTACATAAGTTTTCACTTCATAGTTTTGTAATTCTACTTGAAATTAACTGATGTACTAATAGTAGGACCATACTGGATAACATCAATCTTCTGTTCCTTCGTCATCTTCTAGAGTGAATGAAGTTTTACTTAGTAAGTGCTGACCAAGTTGTGGTATTCATATATTTTACTAACCATTTTCTTACAGGTCATCATCAAAGATGTCTTAAAATCAAAAATATTTTCTTGATTTTTGTGGAAACTTTTCTTTTGTGTTCAAAGATCTAAATGAAAAAGTAAAAAAGGAGGGATTTATAGGGCTTTTTCAGCTTTTTTTACACTGTAAATTGTGATATTGTTGTGATGATAGATCCAATATAATCTTTTCTTTAATGTCAGTCAAGATTGAGAAGAATGATATTTTACCTCAATTATAACATAAATATCAGTTATTAAGGTATCTTTGAAATGTACATGTATATGTTTTTGCTGGAACCTTATCATTCAACATTATTCCTAAAAACTGTCAGACATTTTACTCTTTTTCTTTTCATGTGGTTCCAGCCTTAAGTTGTATTTTCTTCTGGCTAAAATTTCACATTTACCGAGTATTGCACATGTTTTGATGTTGTATGCAGATATTTGTAGAAGTTGTTTATAAAACGCGAAGAGATTTGGTTGCACATTACGGCAAACAGGTTAAATTGCCATATGATAATGTTTATTTCAATCATTCTTATGCTGGGTCAGGTTTTAAGTAGAAGTGATGCTGGGATGTATACCATGCAGTGTATATCAGACAGAAATTTTTATTTTCGTTAACAGGCTCAGATTTATTGTTGCAGTGTTTCTACTAGGTCGTATATAGTTCTGACTTTCAAAGTTCATTCTTGTCTGGGTATAAAAGACAAGCGTAATTCTAAGCAAGTGACTTTAGATTTGGAAAGATATGATTGATATTACATGCCTAGTCTTCAGAATTTTAATGATACATATTTTTTGGGAAATTTCATAGGATATTCCTATGTATGTGCTGAATGTATTGCCGAACTGCTTTTTTTGGATTTCGAGTTTCGTTTTGCTGTTGTGATCTTTAAAATATATTCATACATGTATAACAGTGAATTTTACTTGATATTTATTGTTTATTTTATTGTATATTTCAGGGTACAGGTTATGATTAATAGATAATGGTTTAGTTTAAAGAAGGTGAGAATTAAGGAGGTGGAAGATTACAGATAGGATATTCACCATGGATGTGAATTTAAGGATTACAGCATTGTTACTTTGCCTTGTTATAAAGGTAGTATATGGCGTGTATCTTGGGGGCCACCTGAACAAAATAACTATAGACAATGAAACAGGAATGGTGTATATAGGTGCTGTAAACAAAATATACCAACTTAATGCAAATTTATCCAAAATTTACGATATCGGAACTGGACCCCGGAATGATAGTCCAGATTGTTTACCAGCAACAGATACCTGTTCATATGCAAAACAACCAACAGATAATTACAATAAAATTCTAGTCATAGATCGTGCCCAACGGAAACTCATTACTTGTGGAAGTATCTATCAAGGTGCCTGTGAAAGAAGAAATTTAGATGATATCACAAAATTTAAAGTTTCTTATGATGGGAACAGCATCACAGATTTTGCTGTAGCTGCCAATGAACCAAATGCATCCACAGTCGCCTTCATTGGCCCTGGACCCAGTGATCAAGATGTTCTTTATGTTGGTACTACATATACTGGTAAATCACGTGAAAATAAAATATACAGAGATGAAGTCCCAGCACTCAGCAGTAGAAGTCTACGAAGTGAAAGGTTCTCTCTTGCTGCTGTTACCAATGTTCTTCAAGGAAGGTCTTCTTCTATCTATTTAAAACGTGAAGTCAGTTCTATTTATCCTATAGAATATGTTGCTGGGTTTAGTTCCAAGCATTTCAGTTATTTTCTTACTGTACAAAAAGCTTCAATCCATCCAACTAGAGATGTCAAAAATATTACGAAAATTGTTCATTTGTGCCAAAACGATCCAAATTTCTTTTCTTATGCTGATATGCCTTTAAAATGTGTAGATGGTGATAAGGATTATAATATAATTAAAGCTGCAGCAGTGATCGAACCTGCTATGAATCTGCGTGCCTCATTACTGATCGAACCTACCCAAGATGTTCTGGTGGGTCTCTTCTCCCATCATAATGAACAGTTTGATGAAGAAGATTCAGCTATCTGTGTTTATAGTATGAAGGAAGTACGAGCTAAGATTCTAGAGAATATAAAACTATGTCATCAAGGTAACCCTAGTGTTAGTGGTGGTGGATATTTACGTGTTGGTCCTGGTGGAAACTGTAATCAACAGGTAAGAATTATTTGAACTTGCTACTTGATTCTCAATTTCACTTGGTCTATTGTTACTATACTCTTCCAAATTCATGTGGCAGACAATATTCCTTTTTATTCTGATAATGTGAAGGATCTACAGAATGTTCTGAAATCACAAAACTGGATTAAATAGATTCTCTTCGTATCACATGAAGATTCAATACTCTCTGAATTTTATGTTTATGGTTACTAGGCAGAGTCTGCTATGACCATAAGTAAATATACTACAATTTATCCTGCTTTATTTTATTGTCAGGTGTCTGAAGGTTCAAAATTAAATTCATGGCCCATAGAATTAAGTAGTTATGACGCCAATTTTAAATTGAATAATGAAATGCTTTCATTGATTTACAAGGATAAAAATCCCATTAATAAAGACAAAAAGGCTTTCCATTAAATAAGAGAATAAAAAACATAGATTTAAATATCTTTAACATTAATCTACAAGTAATTTCTTAATAATTTCTTCAATAATTTTTATCTTCAAAAATCAACTGCCTTTGAGTTCACTTTACTTATATTTCTATTGTTCATTGTTCAAATATACAAAAGGTGTTTTTTTATACGTCACTTGTACCTGAAAGGAGTTTTTATCAAGATTAGCGATCATTGGTGATAGACATTTTTCCATTAAAACTTTAGTACACTTGAATCAGATAACACTTTTATTAAAGGTTATGATTGCTTTAGCACAAGAAAAGCACAGTCTTTTATTGAAAGTGGCAAATCCGGTTTGAATTGATAAATAAAAACCTAAAATGTCATCAAATTTCTTGTGGTAGGCATTAATTATTAATGTGGAAAATTTGTACAGGGAAGAAGAAACCCAAATCTGCAACAATCCTGCCACCTTATGATATGGTCAATTGTTTTTTTGAATCAAGTTTCAGTGTATGAAATTATAAAAATTGTATACTTCAAAGGAAATCATGTTTTTTATGTCACCAACCATACTTAATAATATTCTGTTTAAAATCAACCTTATTTTAAAGTAATTCGAGGAAACCATTTAAAAGTCTGTAAAATAGGTATATGTAACTTTATACTTGTTAGGTCTGTTTTGTTTAGAATTTGAAAAATCTTTAATCAATGGTTAGGGATCTAGCCACTTTAAAGTAGAATGATTTGAAACCTATCATTACCACACCTAAATACCACAATGTTAAAAGTATGTTTGTGTTATTATTATGAAAATTATAGATCAATGAATAGAGGGTTTAGAAATGTGATGAAAAGGATTACAAAACGTTTTGCACTGGTCTGATACTTCTGTTTACTGTCCTTTGTTCCTTGTCTGAACAGCTGACCCCTGTCAATAACTTCATAATACTTTTTAAAAAAATCTTGACCTTGTGACTCTGATTTTATCTTTTGAAATGTTTAGATAGAAAAAAAAAGAAAGATATGGGTCCCTTGAGGACATGGCTGTTAGTAGGTTGGTGTTAAGTTATTGGTAATCCACTACTACTTTTAACCACATTTGAATATTTTGATTCACAATGCAGATAACTACACAAGTATTTGTAGACAAAAAATTCATAAAGTATGGTGAAGTGGAAGGCCAGGTCTACTTGAAGAAAGTATTCAGTAGAAAAAGGTGTTTAATGTTTCATCTGTCAATAAGACAAGTGGTTGATCAACAGTTAGACATACCTTTAAGATCAGGGTAAAAAACTCACCACCAACTGGTAACAATCCATCTGTGATTCATACTTCTTTAGACTGAGATAAAGAAATGAATAGACTTAATGAAAAACATTTCTTTTAAATTCTCTTGATGGAATACATTATGCAAATTTGGATAATAATATATAGTGTTGCCTCATATATTGTAGTAATTCTTCTGATACAGGGTGATTAGTCTCAACTTCTTAACTGTCTTTAAGAGACTGTCATGAACATTTTCTTCAGAATTAATTATATCAAGGGCCCCCTAAAATATTGGTGTATGTCTCTAAAACTAATGTTGATAGAGTTTGATAGTTAACATTTGATTAATTAGATGAAATATTTATTAAAGTTAGACTAACGAAGTGCTAATTGATGGCGGAAAGTCGTTAAATTCTCGTTAGTATCCCAGAATCTTCTTATAGACATTTATCATTTAGTCAAAAAATATCAAAGAAATTGAACGTAATTGATCTAATATATCGTACATGTGTTTTTGACCTGGGGTTAAGATAAGAGTCTTTTGATTTCTACACTGTGAAGAAAGAGAGAGGCATGATACAAGGTGCAAGTTAGAATTATGAAATCTAAACGAGATATAATTTTGAATTTACACTCATATGGAAGGTCTGTTGGGGACTTTCATTTTGTAAATTAATGATCAGATAGGATACAATCATAACAAGATGTTTCAGATATTTTCACTTCAGAACTCACAAAATCTAAGTTGTGATCAACTGACTTTACAAATTCATAACCATAAAATAAATGTGTTAATATATGTTGATAATAAGCCAACTGTCAGGTATTAAAATTAATAATATTTTTAATTCAACTAGACTTAAAACCTGGTTCTCATCAAATATTAACATTCAAATTTTATTCTGATATCTACTTTTACTTGAATCAGGATTTCATGATAAGCTTTGTTTAATGTCTACTCAACTGCAGATAAACACCATATAAATTTTGATAAATTTTTTTATTGATTTGCACTTTTGCTTTTAATGGTTAAACTTTAAGGCACATTTTGATTATATGTGTACTTTTGCCTTGAGCAGAGTTTAAAATGACTTGATTATTAGATTTTAATGCCTATGTGCCCAGAGCTATGTGAAACTAAATGGTTTGCTGGGATATTTTTTGAAAATGGGTTGAAATGTGTGAAGCTTCTATGTCTGTTTTAACACATTGTTATGTCACAAAACTTACCAACTTTGGTCAAAATAAATATTTTTATTCAAGGGTTAAAAAACATAATTTAATACTGGAAAATGATTGTTAATTTGATTTGACAGTATTATAATCTTGATATGGATGATGGTCAACTACTTGCAGTTTCATACTCTATTACTATCTTTAAATGGCAGCATAACAAGAATATTCCTTATGTGTATATAGAACACAAAAACTCTTGCATGCATTTAATCATTATCTAAAGTTGATAACATACATCACATGATTATTTCAATGGACTCAAATACAAGAGCAGTTGATGAATCACAAAATGAAGGTCTCAGATCTTGTTTTACAAACACTGTAAATAAGATTTGTTTATAAATATTTTGATGTGATAACAGTTCCTCGGGTCAAACATTAACAATAAATTTCCCATCTAACTGTAATGTACTATGGTTCATTGGAATAGATAAAAGACTTACAGAGCAGTAGAATTTAATCTTAGTTGTTGACATCTCTATAAAATTAATGATAAATACCCCTATTTATTAGAAATTTATTGCAATAAGTTTGTTGTAAACATATCATTTGCTATCTTCTTCTCGATATTTTTCCTCAAATTGGTGTGTTGCATCTGAATTTTGTGTTGTAATTTGATATTTGAAATATGTCTACTGTCTTATCAGTAGCCCCTCCAGCCTGTTCTACAATGTTGGTATATTCACCACGCCAAAACACTTGACACTGGTTATATTTTGCCATCTATTCAATTACAAAAAACCTACCCAAATCTATTGGCAATTCAATTTGCATCTACATCAAGATTTCATTCCACCATGAAAGACTTGACTTGTGACCAATTAACAGAGAACAGAAGACTCACTGTTGGAAGCTTAATATCACCATGTGGCTAACACAGAGAAAAAAATATTAGAAATATGTTGATTTCACCTGATAGTCTGCTCAAATTATACCTCTTACATTGTCAGGTATACAGAGAATGTTAATCTATCAATAAATCTTTTTCTACCTTTTAACTTAGTTACTGTAGAGCTTTCTTACCAAAAAATAAGATGTATATTTAGTTTGATGAGAAAGGTGTGTTTTATTTGAACAAAAAATCCATCTAAATCGTGTAAAATGAAACTTAAAATGTATCATGGTATCCATCAATGTCTTAAAAGCAGAAGAACTTTGAAGATTGCAGACTGCTTTGGTTTGGTGATACTTTCTAAAAATCTTGTCAACTTACATTACTTGACAAAGAATGAGATCCAAGCAGCTTGAAATCATGTGACAAAATAGTTACTACAAATATGAAATATGAAACTTGACTTCTTGACTAAACATCAGACAACAATCTAACATAACTGGCATAATAACATTGTCTGAACAAATGCAGCTTGTAGGAAATAAATATCTGCTGTCAGAACTGTAGTGCCATGTTAAAATGTACATGATTTTTCAATTTCAACTCTGAGCACCAAAGATAAGAAAAGATGAACTATGACTATCAGTTGTTAAAGATAGGCTACTAGAGTACTCTACCATCATAGTTTATATAGGATTTATATCAGTTTTACTGTGTATTATTAATAGATTATATCACAGATATTAGCCTATCAGACATCTTTTCATTTTGACTTGCCTATTTATTTAGCTTCCATACTTGTTTATTTTGTCTTATTCCAGCAGACTTCTTTCGCATCCTCACATAGCTAAAGGTGTTGACTTTAAGTAAACTTATTAATGGAAAATAACTTAATGCTTATCACTAATTTGAAGGGTACATGACTTTTTCTTCTGAATGCCAAAACATGCTAAAATGTGCCGACTGAAACAAGTGACATAAAGCTTCACAAGTGATCAAAGCAGAAACAGCAGAACAAACATGTTCAATGCTTTGTAAACTTTGTAAAATATTCATTGTGAATATCAAATTGTAGGCATGAGTACATATAAATTATATTTCTCTGTAACCATCCCTGTAAATTGACTCCATTGCCAACTCAGTTATGCTTATATAATAATCTGATAAAAAATGGCAGTCTGGCGTTGAAATATAATATTGCTAGTGGTTATTCACTGATAAAAAGTTAGATTGTGGTATTTTCTCTTAGAATTGACAGGATGTTTGGAATCTGGTGGAAACGTTTTTGGGTTGTATTATTGAATAATAAATAAGAATGGTTGGGTGGAGAATAGTTTATGTTTTGATTGTGGTGCAATTGTATTATATCATTTGGTTACAATTACTTGATTTTATATCTGTAAAACATGCATTTGTTATCAATTCTAGCAAGTTTAAATTTACAAGTCTGAAATATTGTTGATACATGGGCAGTAGTGCTTGACTTCAAACTTTGAAAGAAATATTTAAGTTGTAATTTAATTAACTTATAAAATATTAATTTTTTTTCAAATTTTACACAATGATACATAGTCCCATAGGTTATATAAAAGATAAAAGATGTTTGCATACATTGTACATGATCATCAAAAATAAGCTTATAGTTTTAAACCTAAAAAAAAAAAACAGGCTTACATTATCATCCTTGTATCTTACTGGCAGACCTGCAAATCTAATTCATAAATATTTCACATCAGATAGTAGCTGTTATTTTAAATGGGGTGTCAAAGGTCAAAGTGTAAAACATTTCAATGATGCCTTTAGCAGTATCAATTCTCTTCAAACAAATAACTACCTCATAAATCTGTTAATGCATAGAAATTCATGGCAAGATAAAATGTACCAAAATATCTTGGGGTTAAAGTTGAGAGTGAAAATAAACTCAGTTATTTTTAAATACAACATATGGAAGGTTTAATGTTTTTGTATTGGTCATTAGTTAACTAATCTCTGAAATATCTTATTTTAATTTGGCCAACAGGTTGCTACACGAGATGCCTATTGAACTTCAGGTTGATTAATCTTATGAACAATCATTAGTATATTAACATAAAATGCAGGCTGAATGTAGATCCATGTTAGTATGAATTTTGAAAAAATGAAAGACCTATTACCAGTACCCTTAAACAATGTTACATAGTACAGCTGATGAATTGTCAACAACAGATGACCTCAAAAGGTGTTGCTAGATTGTTTTTGTTTGAAGTATGTCACGAAACAGGTTAACCTAAGAATTTTCAAGCTTTATGGGCAGAAGCCAATTCAAATGTCAAAAATTAATTTTTCTGAAATTTGTACATTTATAGGAACTAGGCATAAAAATGATTTGAAATGTTTGTGTGTGAACAGATTGTATTGAGTGAATTCTATTAGGAAAGGAAATGACTTCATCTGTCTTTGTCATCTATCTATCTTCTTCCCTCCATATTACATCCCACTTCTGACATCTTGTTCACCTCATCCACTGACTTCAGCTTGACTGAGTACCTTTTTTTGTTATTATTGCCTGCTATCAATGTTGCGAAATATCCCCTATGCTGCTTTGAATGCGTCAAATAGTAGTTTTTACATAATATAATGCTTTACTTACAGTATATTTCATGGAAACAGATCAAATTACTTCCAAAATGAATAGGTGTTCTTTTCACCATTGGATGAAAACTTGAAAAAAAGGAAATTATTCCATTTCTTGCCGAAATCTTGGGTCATGAGATAGAAGAAAAGTCTAATTGTATTGTTTCTTGAGGTCAGAATGACACAAATTCCATTGTTTTGGAATTTGGAAAACTAAAATGGTGTCAAATGAAGATGACTTAAAGGTTTGACAGAAGCTATAGAACATCTTGTTGTTCTTCAATTTAAGAGATAGAATTGTTAATGACTTGCACAAATGTAATTGTAGTATTGTCTGCTAATGTTAATTACTCATTGTGAAACTTTGACAGATCTAGCAAGATTTTCATGTGTTTTACATGATAACTATTTAGGACATTGTCATTTTGAAATGATGTCACATTAGCTTTCGTTTTAATGGTGACAATTCAAAAGGAAATACATTTTTTCTCAAGGATTCCTTCAGACAATCTCTTCAAAACTGTAAATCATTTAAGAGTATTTTCGTGATGGAAGCAATCATCATTTTACATGGCACGGCATTGTGATTTTAAGACTTGGGTAGAGGTAACAAATCCATTACTATCAGAATTGTAGACACCCTCATTTGACGTGCAAAAAAAGATGGATATTATTGTTCATTGCAAATGTCTTCTGATTTTAGGCTCGTCTGAATAATATCAATATTTATAAGAAAAGGAAAATATCTAGGCTAGTAATTTCAGACCTTAAGCCTAAATATATTAAGATAATAAGAAATCCTGCATATGACCTGGATAATGAGCTGATCATCAGTTCAAATTCCATGTCTAAATTTCCTCTTAATGTAGTCTCACAGTTCCAAGACATTAAGACGGTGACCTAATTCTATATAAACAACCTAATGACTTCTGATAATTACTGCTACTTTCTTAACCAAACACATTTACAAATTACAAGATTTTTCTTCCTTCACAGTTTATTGATTTGGTTTAATTGAAGTCTATAAGAATGTAATTTGCCATGATTTTGATGAAGTGTAATCAGAAAGTCAATTCTTTATAATCCATCAAATTATCATTAATTACTGCCTAGCTTTTATCGATCTTATAATTTCTTACTTTTAAATCAAAATAACTCATTCCATAGCCTTTCATGTCTGGCAAATTAAAAGTAAATTAGTGGCGCCATTAATGTCTTAAAAATGTAAAATTTATGTGTTGCATGGCTGACAATACATACTGACAATATAATGGTGGTTCTTAAATTTAGATCGTGCAGTTTAGTATAACATGTAAATTATGTATAATGAATAATCTAAGCTATTCTTTCAACAATCTTGAGGCATTTCTTTGAAACTTAAGTTTTCATGACATGAGATTGAGTTGATGGGATATTTATGTAATGACTATTGGGTCGCTCTTTTCGGAGGGTTTGTCTGATGACCATTCAACTGTACTACAATGAACAAGATGCATAAGAAATAAGTTTTAAAAACAGAATAGAAAAGTTTTTATATGCCCAATGCTTGTGACTTTTGAAGCGTCTAAAGTTCCTGTTAATCATGATAAATGTTTCTGTTTTTCAGAGTGGATTAGTAACACATAATATAGAAGAAGATGATGAATATCTATGTAATACTAATTTAGAGAGTTTCTCTATGGTAGTTGGTATTAACCCCATGGTAAAGAAACCAGTCCTTTCGTATCGCGATCAAACGCTTACTGCTGTAGCCTTGACAACCATCAATGAACACACTGTTGCCTTTGTTGGTACTTCTAAAGGTGAACTGAAAAAGGTAGGCATCCCTTATAGTTACATTACCGGTACTTAATAATTACAAGGCCAAGTTGTTATGGTTAGAATGTGAGGTTTCTCATATGCTCAAACATCATTTTACTTGAAAAAAAAATAAACTAAGGCTGAACCTCAGTTGTCTTCTATCAATCATGAAATAAATATATGTATTAAAATGGATTTGCATTGCCACCCATACTACCCTGTTGCTGGCAAACAAATATCTTCTATCAACATAGCTTAACTATTGTATTTCATGTTTTTGACAAACAAGTATAAAAACTTTACTAGATAAAATGTTAAACATTTTGATAAAGTGAAATCAGACGAAAATCAGCATTCCCCTGTAAATTGTTGACATAATCTTAATTGTTTACAAGAAAAGAACTGCCTCATTAAATTGCAGGAACTTGTAATTGCATTAATGATAGGGTGCTACACTAATTCTATGTGACAAACATCATCTTGCTCTACAATTATAAAACAAAGCCGTGAAATTTTAGACAGACAAAAAACTAGTAATTACAGAAAACAGTATGTCAAAATACATTTCGATGCCAAGACAAATTTTACAGTTAAGATTTGATGCAGCAGTTTTGGAGATTTCGAGAAATTTTTATCATTTACTGTCAATTTGTTAATAGATAAGACTTTTGGTATGCTTTGGAGAATTGGTGTCAAGCAGTAAATATTGATAAATGTCTTTCTTAAATCAAATGTGACCAAAATTTCTATGATTTCAATTTGATGCCAATTCTGCAATTACTAAAATTTAATATGACTGAGTGACAGTTATTCAGATCTTAAATAAGACATGCTATACAGAGAAACACATGTATGAAATGTTCCAAAAGCCTTTGTAAGGCCTAAATTGACCGTGATATTACTATTTTTGAAATGCAGTCAATTCTATTAGTTTGCAAAAGTAGATATTGCCCCAATCTAAATCAAAACTTTCTTTGCAAGTTCCTTTTTGAAATTTGTAAAAATGGAAAATTTCAGGAAAACCCACAGCAGTTATTGAAGAACAATATATAAACCTGCATATTGTTGTGATCTAATCTATAATATATTGATAATAATATGAGATAATAAGACACTAACTAGCTACAGGTTATCCCTTTTCATCTACCTTCTAAAAACTTCTTTCAACTTTCTATACATCTCACTTCTTCCATTGTTCTAAACCAACTCAAACTACTGCGCAAGATTAAAAATCATTGAAGACACAAATAGATCAAAGGAAATATTAAAAAGGTGAAAATCGATAATATCTAATTGATACTAGTTAACACAGCTTGTATGATAGTTATATAGTTTAATCTTTATTTTACCATCTTTAACATCAAAACCATGTTCAATATATTTAAAATGGTATTTAATGTCATCAAACTACTTGAATACTTTTATACATCTTTTGAATTGTGCTTACCAAAACAACTTCAGTTTTAATTGCAATAAGCTTAAAAGAAATGTTAATCTTTGAGAAAGTTCTAAGAATGATTGAAATATGCCTTTTGAATAGTTAAACACGTGTGCAAAGGTTTAAGTGGCTTGTCCAAAAAGTTAGTTCTATGTAATTAAAATCAGAAAGGTTAATAAGATACAATGTAACATACAAAAAGAGTGGCAAGAAAGAATAGGTCTAGATAAAAAATACAGCTCAAAATAGTATTGTTAATAGTTTTCTTGAGGTACAAGTTCACATTGGGTGAAACTGATGTTGACAATTGTTTAACAGTTCTGAAAGTTGTTACATTTTAACTGAATTGTTCATACCATCTGTGTTCTGATTTTATTGCTTGTACCAGTCAACCACCATGACTAAATATTGTTTGAATTTCATTCTTTTGTTCGAAGCCTTTAAAGGGCTGAAATGTTTTGTTGGTGGGGTAATAGGAAGTAGAAACTTATTGTAAAAACTTTTATCAACCATATGTTTTCTATCATCTTTCTCTTTCTTTAATAAAATATCTAACCTAATTTCTATTGTTTACTTGAAAAACATCATTTCTACCATATGCTTAGTGTAATATTTTAACTATTATTCATATAGTTAATCTAACCATCAGTCTTAAAAACATACCTTAATTTTGGAAAGATCTTGTTCAAAGGGGATAAAGGTCAAATTCCATTACATCAACTGTTATTGAAAAGATCCTGAAATTAAATTTCTGTTTTGATTCAAACATGAATGAAAGCTAACAGTGGATTTTTTGGTTAGTTTTGTTTCATAAACAGGATATTCTGTGTAGGTAAAAAAATATAGAAATCAAATTTTGTTGTTTTATGTTTAAAACATGTACATGTTGCATGTATATAAAAAGAGAAAGTACAGTATATCAACAGATAATTAGCATTGAATTTCACATTTTGTTAGTAAAAGAAAACTTGATCCCTGAACCTTCATGGTTCTTTATTGCGAACCACCACAATGATGAACCGATCTTCTCAAATTCAACAAAAAACACTGGTGAATGCTTTAGTTTGTTATACACTGAAAACTTATCACAACTTTGATGAAATTCAAGTTAAATTTTTATTGTTTGAGATTTAAATAGATATCAGACTTGTTGTCTGAAATAAAAGAAATGTCTAAAATGTGGTGTGTTTTGATATAAAGACTACCATCTGATATGAGACCAACATGTTTAGGACAATAGAGGAATGAACTTGATAAACTAATAAAACGTTTTTTCAATAAAATACTGGGATTTAACAGTAGAGCGTTAAGTGACATCATTTCCATAAAAACAACATTAGTAGGGAGTCTATTGTCCTCTCACTTTATAAAACTATATCATCTGTATGGTATGTGGTAATGCTAGACAAATATAATGATGATCCTCTTGGGTGTTATCATAACAGCAGGTTTCAGCTGTTAAGCTACTGTTTAAATCATGAGATCATAGCAATTCAACAGTTCACATTTTGTATTTTTAGTGTATTTCCCAAAATATAAGAAATTGACAAAATATCTTTCAAGAAAATCAGAAAGAATTATAATTTTGTAAATTATGTAAATATAAAGAAATACTTCATTATTTATTGATATATAATGATAAGAGCACTACATAGGAAATTCTTTCCTTTTCTTCATCTATAAATTATATTGAAATGTATTTTATAAAAACTAATAGAAAGCTTGATGTCTGCTTCTGTTCCTATCATATTTTAATAATTTATTGCCATTGTCTGTATATTGGAGAAGAAAATATGGAATTATATTTTGATATATATGCTTCTTCATAAAGTTAATTTCCTGAACGACCAGTCATGCACAGACAATTACAAGTCACTGACGACCAGTATTTCCTTTTGATGCTTTCATTAAACACGTTCCACTACTATTATTAGAAAAGCTTTCCAATTACAATGCTGGAGAAGTATATTTGACTTTACTCTTGAAGCTTCAATAAACTTGGAAGCTTCACTTACAGATTAAAGAATTGTTGATTAAAAATCCTTATTTAAACCTAAAAAGCATTTCTTACATCTGTTTATATATTCATGTACTGCTCAGTATGAGAGTTTCATGTATGCTGATGGCAATTGGTTTGATAAAACTATGTGATGAATATATATTCAGCATGTAATTAAGATGCCCTGAATCAGGTGCCCATAATTTGACTTGTAACCCATTCCTTTATATCCTTGACTTCATCTAAAGGCTCAGTAAATACAGTAAAGAATTCTTTCTTAAAAATACTGATCTTACCATAACACTTTTAGACATAAGATCTTTCATGATTTAACCTTTATTTTTCATGTTAGAAAGGCTACATGAAAATTCAATATTCCCAAATGTATAGCTTAAAACAGTTAACATACATGATTCCTACTTTTATAAAAACCTACATGCATTATTGTATTTCAGATATAGTCTTGGGTTCAATATGCCTGACTTATTTAATCATTTACAACAAGTCATTTACAGACAATTGTCTGCCATATTGAAGTACTGATGTGAATAAAATTTCCCCGTTGAAAGACGCTTGATGTTAATATCCATGAATATATACAGCCTAAAAAACTTGAAAACCTAATGAAGACATAAGGCATAATCATGTCTCAGAGGTTTTGTAAATGATTGAATTTAATGCGATCAATTTCCACAGTGAATCTAAGAGAATCATACAGGCATAAAATTTTACTGGCTTCATATATTGATTTAAAAATATGTCTCCTGTACTCTTCAATAGATCCTTTTAATCACTTCTATATTCTGATCGTTTTAAGATGTCTGTCGGAACAATAATTTGATAAATAGTCATTTAATGATAGTCTATCGTCTGTTTTTCAACATTCTCTTCAATTTTTCAATCAATAATGCTAAATTTATGGCTTACAGTTCAAAGAAAATGTGAAATTCATCTTGGTAAAAAGTGAAAATATTACCGGAAAGTCTACATGTATAAATGGATAAAATCATAAATAGAATAAGAAACTAACACAACTTCTTTCATATCCAGATTCAGACAGAATTATATCCTCCCTAACTGTCTAATGTGTTGGCATCATCTTTCGGTACTTTTAATTTGCTGGGGTCTTAAGGTCTTCTAATGGCATTTAGGTCTTAAATAGTAGTAACTTAAGAGTCATCTTATAGTAAATGCAAATTTGTTTCAAATAATGTTCTTACATTTCACATACACTTTACATGTACTTTTCTTTATCAGTCCATCTTGCAACAAATTAGTAATTTTTAAGCAAAAGAATTGAGTGATGTGAAGATATATTTTTATTCTGCGTAATTACTGAAACTCGTTAGAAAGAAAATAATCTAGAAAGAAGCAAACTGTTTTATTTGTTTTGGGGGTAAAGGAATTGGTAAATTGCTGTTAGATGAAATTGATCCTGTAGTTCCGTTTCACCCTAGAGGGATGAAATAAAAAGAAATCATTCCTGCAACCATAATTATCAGATCTGACCTGAAATTTTCTTTGAACCATTTGAAAGTGATTGCTTCCTGCAGAATAATGATTAAACAATTTAAATTGTTATTTTTGAGCTTCAAAGCATGAAAATTATTGGCAGATTTTTTTTATCAGAAAATATCAGTACAATGAAATTATGAATCATTTCCTGGTTTTGGTATTAATTTCCTTTTAGGCTAAAAGATGAAGAGACTGGACAATTTCTCTTTAGTTACACAGTTGATATAATTGGGATAATTACGAGCAGAAATCAATTCATTCAAACTTTTGACCTGAACTCATGTTGTGATATTTGAATTCCAGATGATCACTCCTTTTCATTTTTCCTGTTAATTCCCTGTTTAAAATTTGTTATTTGTTCCTATAAATCATACTAGTACCTTACCAGAGGATGTTCTCTTAAAATTATTTTTTATACAAGTGAGAGCCAAATTGTATGGTGAAATCAGGTGTCAATGTAACAATTTCTATTTCAGATTGTAGTGGAAAATGATGTAAAAGCTAGAGAATACTCATCGGTCGTTGTTGATAAAGGCAGTGCTGTCAAACAGGATATGGTTTTTGATACAGCTCATGAAAATATTTATGTTATGACCGAAACAAATGTAAGTTTGTACATGGTATGCCTCTTTGCTACCTTTTGTTTTTAAAGCAAACTCGATCAAAATCCAATTTGGATTGGTTTATTTCTGGGTGTCTGTGCCTACTTCTATCTCTTGTGCTGTAAAGATTGAAAGAAAAACCCAGTTCTTGGCGTAGAAGTATCTTTTAAATTATATGAAATATTCAATTAACATAGATAATTAGATCAGAGTTATCAGACTACTATCTCTATAGCCAGAAGTCATTTTCTACCCTTGTTTAATCCGTCTGCTTTCATCCAATTGTCTTCTTGACATAATTTCATTTTCCCCTCAAACACGTAGTTAAAATAGATGAAATAATGATTGAAAAAAATGACCTGAGTAGCAGACATGTTCTTAAAAGAAGAGAAATATTATAAGATGTCGACAGATCACTTTGTGTCCTGTAGCTATGTCCCTTTGTTTCCAACATCATAATTAAATCACGCCATTCAACCAACAATGGTGTCTTGTAGCTAACCAACTTAAAGAATTCACTCGAAATATGTGATCTCCTTAAGGCCAAACTACTTTTTTCGGCCCACATGGGAATAAATTGGTCATAATCAGAAGAACTCTTTTATTAAGGAGATGTGGTCATCTGAAAGAAATGAAAGGTTACTAATTAACAAATTTCCTTCCATACTTAGTCTAATTCCGTCGCCATAAAATAAAACCTGGAAGTAGTGAATATGTGAGGCAGGCACTTTTGTGTCACATATTTGGAGCTATACCTGTTAACAAAGAGGTAGAAAAGGTTAGTTAATTCCGTGCCAGCTTGGATGTCCATTCTGTCATGGCATAATGGCTTCTGGCAGAATTAAGAATGGAGAGAATTAGTTGCATCAGTCTCAAATTAACACGTTTATTTCTATCTTGAGGGAATTTCATTAGATACACGAGAAAAAAAAAGAAGCGTTTTAAGATGGAAGTTAATTAGGGGCTAATTCTGGGGTTTGGCACGTGAAATATTTTAATGATATTGTCAACTACTGTGTAAAAAAGTCAATTGGCAGATTTGCTAACGAAGACTTTGAAAATTTGAGAAGAAGCCAGATTCCGCTAGTGAAACTCTAATTAAAATGTTGAAAAAACTTGACATTACTTGCCCACAGCCACATAGTTTAAGAGAAAATAAACCTTCATTTGTATTTTTGTAAAATTTCCCTACTGACTAATTGGCTTCGTAAATTCCTGGCCATATCTTCTTTGTTGTCACACTACATCTGATTCATTGAAGTCAATTAGTGAAGGTTGAAATTTCTCCACTAATTTTAAATCGCAAAAACTTTCAACAAATCACAAACCAAGGGAAGTTGTTAATGAGGACAGAATGATTTTGAAGTTTAATCATGCAAAGTATTTTGAAGTGGTCTGAAACTGATGGCCTAATTTCAAATCTATCAGATTGAATCATTGGATTTGGCTATTGGATGAAAATTTGTATTAGGAATTCGAAAGGTTATTTGGAAGACAGTGTGAAAAAATTCTGCAAAAAATAGTCTGAGCAAACCAAAAAATGAACGGAATTATAAAAACATAACTGAATTTTTAGGAAACAGTAAGGTTAAATTAGATTAGATCTATAGTGTTATAAAAGACAAGAGATTTTAAGCACTTTTGTCACGTTTCTGATGTCATTCCATCATAATGTAAGCTTCTGTGACAATGCATGCAATATTCTTAAAGCATTGCAACCACATGTAGTGAACTTATTGACACAGTATTAACTCTTGTTTTTTACTGGTATCATGGTGATATGAGAGTTATGAAAGCTTTAAGCCAATGGATTAATATATTCCATGATGAGCAGATTTACACATGACATCTGATTTACAATACGGAAATTGAAATGTTGAGGTTTTTGTAAGTGAAGTATTTGTTGATGTGACAGTCTTGTTACAAGCAGATTAAATATGGCTTCACTGTCAAGTTATTTGTCAAACCTAAGAATCTCACTTCAAAAGATATTTTAAACCATCAAAAATTAATGCATCCATCAAGCATATTTTAGACTAAAACTTGTTTTACGTTGTATTACATGTTAAAATGTTATAAAAACAGAAAAAGAAATAGCAAATCCTCTGATATATCAAGTTATATCATACATGTCTTGTATGGGTGTCTTGTATAGCTGTATTGAAATTAATGGTTTGTTCCTTGTTTTTCAGGTGACCAAATTAAAAGTACAAGATTGTGGCCAGTATAAATTATGTAATAATTGTCTATCTGACAGAGATCCCTATTGTGGCTGGTGTTCCTTAGAAAAAAGGTATGTACACAACATTTGAATTAATATTGTCTCTTGTCTCTGTTTTACGTTACTTTAGTTTTCAGTGAAGACATTGGCCAGTTTTCAATATGGGTTGACTCAGTGGTGCTGAGACAGACCAATATTTCTAAATTTCTATAGACTTGTATTGAAATACAAAGTTTATGTTCATTGTTGTCATGGTAATCTAAATCATTGGGTTAAAGTACAATCCATTTGGAATCAAGACCAAAGAAAAAAGGACACAACAAAATGAACATGACACTTGGGGGATTTGATACACTTAAATAGCAAATCAATAGAAGAAAGTTTTTCCATTATAATATCTCCTACATTTTACAATCTTCACGCTAACTGTCAATTTCTATCTTACGGCACGGAATTCAGACATATAATTCTTATAGATAATTCTTTTAATAATTTCTTCATATCAACAAGTCTGCTGTTAGAGAAAAGATTTTTCTTTTTTTAAATGATTTTTGTTGGTGATTATCGCGAATGATGGATCTACTTTCTTGAGAATATGACTAAAAGTAATGGAGGTCAATATTACCACTCTCTGGCATTGAAGGTTTGAAAGGGTCTCTGACTTCAGAGTATAATTATTGATTCATAATATCATGATATGAATATAGGTCCATATCAAATGGAAATTAAACAAAGTTTGAAATTTGAAAATGAAACTACATGTACAGAAAGTATGTATTCTGTAGGCACTATGGAAAACATTTTTCTGGAAAATGTTTTGTAAAACATATAAGAAATTAAATGGGCTAAAAAGCAGCAGCAGGCTTGTCGAACATAAAGATATTATTATAGAAGTTGAAAGTGTGTAATTGACTATTTTAGTCTTATCACAGATATCTTTGCCACAATCAAATTTAATATTATTATATATACAGAATACAAAAAAAATTGTTTAAATACTTAAATATTTGAAAACAGGAAATGATGTATTGATTGTTTTTGAGCAGGCATTGTGGGGGAATTAAGTTGAAATAATTTGTCGGCAAAAGGAAAGGTTATTTCAAGAAATAAAGCCTATTAGCCAGTTTTCAAGTCTATTGGTTACTTGCCTTTAAATCTCTTTTATAGCTAGAAGGTGATAAAAATCAATAGAGCTTATTATTTTTTACGTTTCCAATAAATAATGATCCCTTTTCTTCTAGTTTTAATCTTGCAGGAAAATCGCTATTTATCCAGATAGCTTTCAAATGATGTAAATGAAGGAAAATTACTATAATTTGACTGTTTTTATGGTTTTCACAAAATGAGATTTTAACCATCAATAAATTCTTTATAAAAATCAAGCTTTTAGTAGGAATCATTGTTTTATCAAAGAGTGACTCTTTTTTTCAAATTTTTTGTTTGATTTGAGACTATATGAAATTATAATGAAAGCTATAACTATAAGATGATAAATTCTTTTATGTAATGTTTTTGCAGCAACTTCAATCATTTTCTCAAGAAGAAACCATTTTCATTGTTTTAAATAACAAGATTCAGTGTGTTACATTCACACTATTGTCATTTAGGCATTCCATTTTGTATATGACAATTCATGATATTCTTGATCAGTTCCAAATGAACTTTAATACTTTATTCGGTTCATGGAGACAATGCTTTGCCGATTTTGATCTAGTTCTCAAGTTCGTTTCACAAAGTGTATTGTTGAACAGTCACATAATTTGATTATTTTAGATGTACTTTGAAGAATTCTTGTCCTAATTCTGGAGATCCAACACAATCTAGATGGTTACATGGTAGTTCTAATCAATGTATTTATATCACCAATATCACACCTAAAACAACATCTGTAACCACTGTAACAGAGGTAAGTCTTTTCTCCACAACTTTACTGTAACAAGTGAATCAAGAGGTAGAATGAATGATGGAAAGAGGTGAAATGACGATACTTTTCTTAAAATGAAATAAGATACCAATGCATTTCTTAAAGAAGCATTAATATATACATATATATATGAGCACTATTTTAAAAGAAATTTTTTTTGTTAATATTATTATGTATATGTGTGTGTAATTAGGATTTATTAATGGAAAATAACAAAAATGTTTAGACTATACAGTCTATTTTAACCATACAGTTGATTCGTCTGATAATATTACCAAATTGTATTGAATCAAATATATGTATAAATTGAAAGTAAACTTGTCAAACAATGTTACATATGTTCTAAATTACAGACTGTTCAAGTCACAACAAGTTTGACATATTTATGATAATTCTATCTCTTGTTTACTATTCCTGCGAGAAATCAAACATCTTACCAGGAATTGTGACATTAAACAAACTTGCAGGAACTTGGGCGGAAGCAAACAATATTGGGTGGACTCGGTTAAGAGTGCATTGAAACTTTGGGTGCTGTTTTCGAATGGATGGTTTATTATGACCCTGTGCATGTTTATTTAAAGAAAAAAATGTCTTTTCTGAAAAAGTAAACACATGCAATTGAGCTCTTGAAGACATTAATAGTTCTTTCAATTGAACTGATTTCTACAAACTATCTTTGGTTTAGTCACATTAAGGCCTGGATTCTTTTCTGTTTTGTTTGTTTGAAAATGTTAGACAAGCACCCTATGTGGAAATACACAGATTTTTGTAAATTATCCTTTTCGTGTTACTGGACTTAATACGAGGGATTTTCTTTCATTTAAAAAAAGTTTTCTTTTAGATTTATCAAAATTTTAAAGAAAGAAATCGGATTAAAGAAAAATGGCTTGATATTTGTGAATGTCATCAAAAATATTATTAAAAGAAATGGATTGTTGTAGAATTTCTAAATGTCAGCATGAACTACAAACATGTCCAATCAATTTCTTTCAGAATTTCTCTAAAATATAGACTAAAGTTCAATTTCAAATCAGAATCTACAATTCCATGAAAAAAAATTATTAAAAAAATGTTTATTCATCATGTATCATATCTTACTTTTTTGACTTTTTATTCCTTCATTTGTTTATAGCTTCATCTGACAATCCCTCAATTGCCTCAGACTAGTACCTATAGCTGTGTTTACCAAGAGTTAAATTGGAACTCCCCAGCTGAAATGTGGTATTTTGGTGCCAAATGTGCCACTCCAGACTTTTCAAAGATTGGTGCCTCATTGACTGTAGAAGGTAAGTGATGTCGCTGGTTAAATTAGATGTCTAAAGAAACTTTTTACTGGATTTAGAATTGGAATATGATTTATTACTATTACCTCATAGATTATGTCACTTAAATCAGTATTTTATAAAAACTGTCTAGCTCTGTGGCTTATATTTGTATTTATTTCTTATTAGAACTCCTAAATGTCAAAACAAGTCTTTAGATACATGTATATGTAGTGGCAATGGGAATTGATGCTTAACTTATTTCCTCTTTCAAATAAGTTTCAAATATTGGAAGTAGAAATTGACTTCTTCATGTAATTGAACTTTCCTATTTACAGGTTCAAAGACTATTACTCTAGCCTTGAATTCAAGTGAAACTGGAAAACTCTTTGTTACAAAGCCGTTTACATTTTACAATTGTACCAACTTCAAAGAGTGAGTTTTTGTTGTCTTTCCACGGCTTTTCTCTGAAATTGACTTTTAAATCAGTATTTCTTTTCTGTTTGGAAACTTGTGATCAAAAGTACTAGGATAAGGAATTCCATTTCTGATTAGTTTTGGAGATTGAACGCTCTTCCTTTTTCTTTTTTTTTCATCCAATAGTTGCAATAAAATTGGTTCCTTTATATTTGAAACTCTGTTTTATGTTTTTTTTATCTGGATATTTGGCATTAAAGACTTTGGCACATGCATAATTGTGGTAGCATCACTTGCCATATTTAGATGAGTAACAGTTTCTTGGAAGCACTCCTGGCGCCAGTTCTGTTTTAAGAATGCAAAGGATACAAAAAGGCATAATCAGCTAATTCTAGTAGTATATGAAATTTTGATTTTATTTATAAATGAATATTTCACAATCATCCTAGTTGTACATCATTTATTAATCAATATTTGATTGTAATTACAGTTGTACAACATGTACTAATTCTGAGTTTGAATGTGATTGGTGTATATATGATAATGGTTGTTATCATGATAGTAAACATTGTAATGATCAGATTATTCGTGGAAAAGGGGTAAGTTACTGTATTGTATATAATTGCAGTGTGCATTGATCAATGCATATGAAAGCACCATAATATGTCAAACAGACATATCAAATTCACGACTTCCAAAATTTTGCAAATACGAACGAACACAGAAATTATTATAATAGCAATGAGCTGTGAACTGAATAAGAGTATTGTTCTATAATGTATTTGATGTTCTAGCAACAAAGTTTATTTTTATTATCAGTGATTGAGTTTGAATATAACTGTACCTTAAACTTCATTTCTTTGATATTTTCAGAGTAGTAAACCAGGTGTACGAGGTGCTCTACACTGTCCGAGAATAGATATAGAACAAACTGGTGATGTATATATACCAGTAGATGTGACTAGAGTTGTTTTATTAAAAGGTTATAATTTCCCTGTCCTCAAACCAACTCACAGTAATTACCGGTGTGAAATAGATACTGGAGAGAGAATATATGAAGCTCAAGCTGAAAGACTAGATGATAGACATATTACTTGTAATATGCCAAAGGTAACATTTGTGGATTATTTTTCATTGCCAGATAGCTAACTCAGTCTGAAGGTAATGATTCTAAAAATGAATTTTGCTGTATAGAAAAACAGGGCATGAAGTTTGAAGGATATATTGCTGTCATTTTTTATTAAATTGCAAAGGAATTAAGGAAATCTCTAGTTCCTCAGGGTCATCACCATCATTTGAATTTGTTAATCCATATTAGTGGTATAAATAAATATCTTTTATACCTTGTATTACAGATCCATTACAATGCTCAGAAAGGAATGTTAGATGCTAAGCTATCAGTTTATTGGGGAAACGATTTTGTGTTAGAATCAACTTCATATTTAGCAGGTAAGTTTGGGTCTAAGACTTGATTTCATTTCATAAATATGTGGCATCTGAAACGTAATGACGATTTTCAAATGCTTTTCCAAATGGCTCCAATATTGCTTACAAATAATACAATTCAATACAGTCCTTAAGCTGCAGTTGGCATTCTGTGTTGATTGAATATTTGTTCTTCTGTATTTCAGCTAAAGTCTACAAATGCAGTGTAATGGCCAACAGTGAATGTGGTCTATGTATAAACATCAACTATACTAAACCATTTTTAAATTGTCGCTGGTGTGGAGATGGGTGTCACTATATGACTAAATGTCCTCTACCAGCAGTATCATCATGTCCTGCTCCCAGGATTCTATCAGTGTGGCCAATGTCGGGACCTATACATGGAGGAACTAATATCACTATTGAAGGAACTAATTTAGGAGCCAAGTTTGAAGATATTGAAAATACTGTTACTGTTGCCAATGTTAAATGTATTCCATATCGCCATCTTTATTCACCATCTAGAAAGTAAGTTCATGAAAATCTGGTATTTTTTAACTATCATCCTCAAGTTACATTCTTAAATTTTTTTCGTTTGGATATATATTACAATATACTGGGGTAGCTGTTTTCATTAGGTGTATTTATCTTATTTTATTGAATTTTGTTTTATAGAATTGTTTGTCGAGCTGATTGGAGAGGGTCAGTAACTAGTGGTCCTATACAGATCTCAGTTAGTGGTATTGTAGCCAATTATTCTGAAAACTTCTCATATAGGGTAAGTATTAGGCTTTTTTGTCAATTATTTGTCATATATTAAGCTTGAAGGCTTCTTTCACTACTGAAACAAAGGTCACTGTGTATGATTGTAAGGCTATATTTGATAGTGTTGGAACGGTTAATCAGTTAACCGATTTCGGGTAGTATTTCACAGGTAGCCGGGTCTGATTTGAGATGATCGGTTAACCGTCAATTTTATAAGAAGTAAAAAGAGAGCAATTTTGACAGAAAATTTGTCACTGTATGAGTCTTTAATAAATAAACATCTTTATTGATTGAATAATAAATAAATAAATCAAGATAGAGTATCATTTATCAAAACAACAATGAGTTGCAAGAATTGTAGTCAAGATTATCAAGCCTCTGTGTGCACCGTTATGTTAATAAGATAAACAAAAAAGCACTGTAATCATTATCAGACGTTCGGCACGTGCCACGGTTCGTTGAATCTTGTTATTATTTTTATTGTATTAAGGAAATGTAACAAAGCTTTTTTAACGCATGTTCTAGTGTTTGAATAAGTTTTGTTGAATAAAACAGTAATAAAGGTCGTATTACTTTTTAGTAAATCTCCTGTAATTAGCTGTTTGTTTCTTCTTGCCTGTCAATCAGCTTCAAGCTTATTAATATTCATGAGTACGGATTCATTGAGACAATAGTTTTATACCAGTTGTGGAACCTGTACACTGATTCGCGACGACTTCAATGAGATACACTCATTACACTGACCCCACAAAAAAAACCTTTGATCTGTTAGAGACTGTAGCAATGAGTGACAATTGCACCAGTCCGTCTGAACTCTTGTCAGGCTCACTCCTAATCTTTCTGTTTGGTATCTGTCGATTTGTACCAACATTTCGCGGGGAACTAGCCAAAATCTTCCTGGGTACTCATTTACACTTATTCTAGTTTAGTTAATTGTGAGATTGACTCCTTTTATCATCGTTAGTAATTAACCGGGTAACAAATTCACTAACCGTTTCAACACTAATATTTGACCATCAATTGTTCACAACTTTTTTGTGAGCATCTGAATCATTTTCATTGAAACCACAAAAACAGCCTGTTGCTTTTATTTACAATTTATAAATTTCTTCCATTTTTCAGAGTCCAAGATTAGACAAAATCCATCCAAGTCATGGTCCAATATCTGGAGGATCTTTAATAACTATAACTGGTAGAGATCTAAATACTGGTGGAAGTATACAGGCTAGTTTTGGTAATGCTCCCTGTGCTGTAGATAGAGGTAGTGTCACCTCAACACATCTCATCTGTCAAACCACCAAAGTTCAGCAACCAGAACGTAAAAGTCCTATTAAGTTATATTATGATGGTCAAGTGTTTACGTTAAATAGAGATTTTATATATAAACCTGATCCTATTATCACCAGAATTCATCCTAGAAAAAGTATAGCAAGGTAAATAATTTTTTATAGTGAAGTTTCATCTGATACTATACAAGTATTATGAAGAAAAAGGCAAGATGGGTGCCAGTTTTGAAAGGTTTCCAAAAAAAGTGAAATATCAATTCTTTTTAATTAGTTTTAACATGTTTTGATCCAATCAAGGGTGAATAGGAAGTAGAGCAAGTCATTTCTCAGAAGGATCTAGAGTTCTTAAAGTAACAAAGAGACATTCTGAACCAGTTCTTCTCTCCTAATGACATTCATTTTTCTCTTTAACAGTGGTGGGCGTTATTTAAACGTGGAGGGATCAAACTTTGATTGTATACAGAAACCAAAGATGTTTGCGTATGTTCCTACTGGAGGAGGAGATTATGAAGTCACTAATCCCACGGTAAGTACAGACAGTTATATATTGATATTAATTACATTTTGTCTGGTAAATTTTATTGTTAATTACATCACGTCTAGTGAGGTCAGACCTGGGTAAAAATTGAAAATATTCCATCAAAAAGTAATTTAGTCTGGGCTCTTATTCTGACCATTAAAACTGATTTGGTATGTCATAAATTGAGTATTATTAGAGAAAATGGCCGACACTAATCATTGATGTGTATGTAAGAGTTAATGGAGTTTTGTTTATTCAGACAATAGTTACATATAGGAGTATACACAGTATATATTATAATATCTATATTTCATCTTTCATCTCCATTATCTTAGTAATGAGTGTGAAATGTCCAATCATGTCTTTTGTATTTGAAACAGAAACAATTTCAAACTTTTAGCTATGTAAGAATTCACTCTTGTAGTAAGCCTATCACTCCTTACAAATTCTTTGTAAGATGACAATTACAAGAAATCCTAACTGTGAACTAGTCATAAATAAATAGTGCAGTGTACACATTTTGATTGTATTTCTTGTTATTTTACAGTTGTGCAAATCTGTTAGTGCCTCAATGATTAAATGTCCCACCCCACCTTTACCTCCAATGAGAAATGTTGTGAGAAGTAAACGGTCTACTCCAATTGTTAAAGTACAACTAGGATTCAATATGGATGGTGTGTTATCTCTAACTAATTTGACTGGTGCTGGAGTGAGAAATATACTAACCTATTTTCCTGATCCTGTGGTCCATAATTTTACTGAAGAAGGCAACATCAAAACATTTAAAGGAGAGATGCTGATTATTGAGGTAAGTGTGTGCATGTACATGACTATGCCAATTGAGAATTTCTGAACACAGTATTTCTGGTTGCAATTGGTGCAATATTTCCATATATTTATTCTAAAATCTTCCACCTTTACATCTTAATAGTTGATATAATTTATAATCAGTTTTTTCACAACACTTATATAAATTTTTATATCTAGGGTCGTGACCTGACAGAAGCGTCTGATAAAGATGATGTCAAGGTGATGATTGGTGGAAAACACTGTAATGTGACTACTCTATCATCCAATCAGATTGTGTGTTTACCACCACCAACACAACCAAATAAAGGAGATGGTGTAGAAGTGAAGAAAGGGGATGGATTACCTGTTGTTACAGTAAGTTCTTTGGTCTAATATTGTTAAAGATGGGTTCACTTATCTTCATTTTTGAATATAAAAATGCTAATACTTATATGAATAGAAAGTAAAGGTGTTCTAATGACTTGGAAAAATACCAGTTTGTCTCACATGTCCTTTAATAATTCATAATTAGCTAAATTAGAAGAGAATTACCAGCAGAATTCCAATGAGTGACCGATCACAAAAGGTCAAAAAGTCTTTTTTGTTTATCTAGACTGTACATACATGGACATTTTATTATTGCTTAAAACTGGTACTTATATGCAATAAGAACATAATGATATGATTAAGAATACATGATGATTCATTAGAAACACCAATTAATCAAATAGTTTGCTTAGTTTGACTGTAAAAAAATAAGGAAACCCATCTTTAAACTAATTGATTTTCAGCCTGCTTACAAGCAACTGACCCCACAGTAACAGTTAGTAAAATGTTAGATTGTTGGCAATAAGGTGACATGGGTTTGAATCCTCCAAAACATATGAAAAAATCTGATGCCATAGCTGGTGCTTCTGAAAAGTGTCCTGGTGTAGGATTTCAACCCGTAACCACTATGTTGGTCGTAGATGTTTGGAGGAAAAATTCATAGGAATATCCTCATTTATGTCCTATAAAACTGATAAACTTATATCCCCTGGCCCTGTAGTAGATTAAAAAATGTGATTATTTACATGGAATTATGTATATTGTGAATATTTAGTTAAGAGTCTAGGCAATCATGTGATATAGACATTGTAATGATTCTCAATATGAATTATCATAACTTTCATGGTTTCTATCATTGCCTCTAGATCTAGGTCACTACAGATTCTAAGCATTGTTGTGGATTCTTTGAACTGATTGTTTGCTGACGAAGTTTTTTCTAGTTTGAAATTATACCTGAAGGAAGTGGTTTAGCTAAGAAATAAGCCAGATTGAGCCTTTGTTGCAAAATGGAGCAGAATTAAATATTTGTATGTATGGTTAGGCAATTGATAGATTAAAAACTGAGAAGAGAGGAATATATGTCAGATTTCTCAAGACCTTGAGAACATTTGACAATACTTTCCAATTCTCCCATGAATTCATCAAAACTTTCTGGAACTGGTGATTTAAATAAATTTATCGAAATTAACTTTGTCAAATGAATTCTGAAAAAATTAAATAACTTTGATGTCCCATGAGATAACTGATATGACAATCTCTTGGTCTTCAAAAAAGAATTCTATTTCTAAAAATTAATGAATTGTGAAATGGATGGCCATGTGTGTTATCCAATGATTAATTAAAAATTTCTAATTAGCTAATACTGAGTGTTGATTAGGAGGCCAAAGGGACTCTAAGAAATCTTCAAATACATGACAATAAAATCCTGGCATATTTAGATGTTGAATGGGGGTCATAATGTGTCGTAACAATGAGGTCAGATGCCTTCAGAAAGGATCAGATACGCCTCACGGGACTCGTTGATGTTAAAAAACAAAGAGTGTAAATCTTGTTGATACTCAGTTTAATGTTAAACTCACTTGATACAGAACTAGCTAGCTGTGTGTTTTAATCTGTAAACTGTACTTAATTGAATAAAAGTCTGTCCTTAAGAGAAATTATAAAGAATTCCCTCACTGTTTACATATATGTGCATATTTAATATTATTTGTTAACCATGTTTAAAAGGTCACAGTTAGTAACAGCTTTAGTGTCCAAATCATCTGTGATTGAACAGTATTTTGGAACGAGACCATCAATTCATAAGTTGATCACAAAATGGCTTTAATTCAAGCAGATTTCTTTTTATGTTTTGTTGTTTAAAAGTTACACAATAGTGACATCTGGAGCTTGTATGCATATCATTATACTACTCATTGTGTTCTAGAGAGAAATCCTAATTAATATCAGTCACCAGACAACATAGATTAATAAAACAGATCTCCTTGATAAACATATTTTAACCATAGGGTTACTTCATAAGAAACATGCTTTATCAAGTGTAAAAAGATTCCTTGACATTCAGAACCCTGGAAGTTATGTTTTACAGACAGTTTGGATGGTGTGATAGTTTTATCTTCTCGTACTGTCAAACAATTCTAGCTGATTATTGTCCTTCTACTCCTGTTATCACTGCAGTCATATTTTAAACATTTATCTTATTTCAATACATTGTCCAGAAATGAAAAAAATGTTTAGCGATATGACTAGTGTCGTCGTAATAAATTTTGTTATTATCAATTTGGAATATTTAATATTCACAGCAAACTGTGTGAATGATTATGACAATATGCAGAAAGCAGTCACCCGCCCTGGACTTTACGTCTGTCTATTCCCAAGTAGGAACAAATTTCATTGTTTCTAATGTAAATTAGATGATAATGAAAACATAATTAAAAGTACATTTGTTAATGATCATAATGCCATTGATTAATCTAAAAAAAAACTGGAATAAATTTGATTCTGATTGTCAGCTGGAGAAAAATAAAGATTTATTTTACAAGAGTTACACAACTTGTTACAATTAAAAACACACTTAATAGTCTTTTAAAAAATGATAATCAAATTTCAAATTGAATTGAATGCCATTAATCTCAATTGAATTGAAGTGATAATTTGGAGGGACCTAGTATTTTATAGTTAATGTGCCTGTTAAACTCTGTATATGGCCAATAAATCACAAGTCTTTTCCCTTCCTGTAAATTATTCTATTAATAAACTGTCATTCATACTAGAACAGTTACAAGTTCATTAGAAAGTATTGTAAATTGTTCTGGCGCCACTTCTAGCTATGTTTTCTATATAATATCAAATTTGGATTCCTCTATTTTTCTAACATTCAGTGTGTTTGTATATGCAAGTAACATTTATACTGATGAAATATGAATTTGACATGAGATTGTCTTTTGTAATAAGCATTGTTTTTCTGTTCTCTAGTTGAACCTATTGTTAAAGTAGAAGAAGTAACCTAAAATAACACATTAGTGAAACACCTCATGTTAAACAATATAATGTTTTCTGACCTTAAATATCACTTTCTTTGTTCCTTTGTCACTTTCTCTCCCTTTGGAAATATTTTGTTAAAGACACAAGTTCAAAGTTGATGAAATGAAACATGCATTATTGTCTTGGGCAGGCAGAATTGCTCATTAAGATGCACATTCCATACATTGAGACTAATGTTTCTAAACAATGGAAGACAATTTTAGATAGAGAATTAATGTGGAGTTGTTGCCAATTATATTGTCATGATCTATTTTCTATAATGATAGTGAATGCTATTTTATAAGAACACAAAGTCAAGGAAGTTTATTGTAATTAAAGTGTATTTAATCAGGATATGATGTTCTGAGTAAAACTACACTAAACATGGTACATGGTATTTCTAACTAGTAAAATTTTGTGTGGCAAAAAAATTACAAAATTTTTATAGGTCGCTCGCTACTGCAGGACCCTGTTCATTGGCCAGGGTATCTCCTTTGATGTTGAAAAAATCACCCAGACTTGTGCATGACAATAGCTTCGAATGCTATTACATGAAGTGCTATGAAGACTTTTCCATTTAACTAAATGTTTTGTTTTTGTTAAATTTTCAGGTGCAAATTAACAATGTGAAATTTCAAGTTGGTAAAGTAGAATATGATGTACCTGAATCTTACTCCTTCCCATTTGAAGCTATAGCAGGAATTGCTGCTGGTGGTGGCTTCCTCCTGCTAGTTATTATATTAATCCTGATAATCTATAGAAGACAAAACACCAAGGCTGAGAGAATTTACCGTAAATTACAGATACAGTTAGATAATCTAGAGAGTAATGTCAGAAATGAATGTAAACAAGGTAAGAATGGATTCAGTAAGATTTACTATTCACAGTTACCTATTTAAGGTCTGATTTTCTGTGTTCTGTGATCAAGAATTGAAATCATGATTGACATTTATCTGGACTAGAAAGGAACAAGACATCTCACATTTAAATGAGACTAAAACTGACATCAGAAACCTAGTGTATTTGTGAAAACCATAAAAAAGTAGGACTAAGCAACTGGCCTGGCAAATATCTGTTTCAATATCACAATATTGCTTGCTGATGGTTATACTATAATATTCATCTTTTCTGTTGATCAAGGGGAAGTAACTGATTTTATGCCGACTACACAAATTTGATGTTTTAGATACATATTAGGGTCTTTCATGTTGATTTAGATATTAGATGTAATTTTGACTTTATTTAAGTGTATAACATATTGTTATTTTTACAGCGTTTGCTGAGTTACAGACAGATATGACTGATTTAACTGGTGATCTATTATCTAGTGGTATACCATTCTGGGACTATCATACATATACATTTAAAGTACTATTTCCTGGTATGACTGATCATGTTGTCTTACATCCACCATTGGTAAGTTCCAACTTCAGTAGAAGAATTTTGTCTGCAAAAAGATAACTTGTTTTTATTGTATTTTCTATAAATCTAATTGAATTGTCATAATCAAGTTCTGATAAATCAAGATCTCTATGTGTGATTTTTAAGATTAAACCATAAGATCATGTGGGAATCATGGTATCTTATTTATGAATGATGAAACTTCAACAGGACATTAGGTTTATTCTTATAATTTATTTTTCAGCAGAAAAATGGTAGATTCCGATTCTCAGACCAAGGACTACAGATGTTTCAACAATTATTGAATAAAAAGTTGTTTTTATTAACATTTATTAGAACTCTAGAGAATCAGAGAGGCTTCAGTATTAGGGACAAGTAAGTATAAATACATGTTTCACTCTTCCTAAGAAGACTAATGAAATGTTGACATGTTTGAGCATAATATATAGGTTGTATTAGAAATCATTTTTATCATTTATCTTATATTCTAATGAAGTATCCAAGTTATCAAATATATCTTTATATTATTTCAGAGTAAATGTAGCATCATTATTAATGATAGTTTATCAGAGTAACATGGAATATGCCACAGAGTAAGTTATATCTCATTTTTAAAAAAAAAAAACACATCAGTGAGCAAAAATGTAGACTGGAACAACATTTATGTGTTATAAAGAGGCCAATGAACTAGAAAAATTAATCATTATTGTTTATTTATTTATTTATTTATTTATTAGAATATTAAAGTCACTGTTGGTAGAATTACTAGAGAAGTCAGTATCTGGACGACATCCTAAACTAATGCTTAGAAGGTGAGATTACTTTATTCAAATTACTACAGACTGCAGTGTCATAGCATTGGTTAACACATTATTTTAATATTATAGTATATATAAATTAATACTTGCAATAAAAATCTGTACAAGCAAAACAGTTCTGTTAATCAATATCTCATATCTCATATCTTCTCCAAAGAGCAGAACCATCTGGTGTTTCAAAAAGAGTAGGTATTGAAAATGTAATTGACTTTGATGATCTTGTAAAATAACATCAATAATCTGAATTATTTTTCTATTATAGAACTGAATCTGTTGTAGAGAAGATGTTAACTAATTGGTTATCATTATGTTTATATAAATATTTAAAGGTAAAATTATTGAGTATTAAAAATATGTGCATAAGAAATTAGGAATTTATCTGAAATACATTTTTCCCTCTGAGGGTCTGTAGTCTATTTACAGTCTGGAAAACTGAATGTATATAATTCGGAATGACTTTTTCAACCACTGCCATCATAATGTTTATGTCATTATATATTTTATTGCAGGATCAAGCAGGCTCGCCATTATTTATATTATTTAAAGCTATTAAGTTACAAGCGGAGAAAGGACCAGTAGATGTATTTACAGGAGATGCTAGGTATTCATTATCAGAAGATAGATTACTACGGGAAAAAATAGAACCTAAAGTCTTGGTAAGTAAAGTTTAGGTACTTTAAACTTTCACTGGAGTTATGTCCCTTAACGCAGTCATCTATCCTGGCTTGAACTATAGTATTATTTATTCGAATTTATATCCAATGAAAAACCAATTCATACAACACATGGTATAAGCAATGTTTTTCACATTTTTTTTTTTATGTATTTCTGATTTGTGTATCTGTATATTTCCAGTCATTAAATGTAGAACATTCAGGAGAAGTGATAACATGTAGAGTATTAGATTGTGATACCATAACACAAGCTAAAGAGAAGATTATGGACTATATGTATAGAAATGTGTCTTATTCACATAGACCTTCTGTTCACGACTTAGATTTAGGTAAGCTTTTCTTATATTTATTTTACCAAGCTAGATTCTCTATGGACTAGTTTGAAAGATTCTAGTGTGTAAAGCAGCAAGCACCTATTAGTTTTGCCTTTGTCAGGTTGGAGCAGCTAGCAGTAAAGGGGTTGCAGGCGTGTCTATTCTGTTTATTATGATGCACATTCTGATAATTTATGTCTTTGCTCACTGACGATCATGTTTTAACCTTTTTCTAAGAAGCATAAATCAAACATTATTATTCAATTAAAACATTTAATTTTAGAATGGAGAAATGGACCAGTTGGACCTGTTATGTTAAATGATGAAGATGGAGCATCGATTCATAAAGATGGTTGGAAGAAACTAAATACATTATCATTCTACAGAGTTCCAGATGGCGCCTTCTTATCACTTAGTCATAAACAAACCACAATCAAATCTATGAACGGTGAGTCCATTAAACATAACTTGTCTTTTCACTTTTTGAAAAATGTTTATCACATTTTCTTCCCTTACACTTTTGCTATATTTGCACTAATATCTTTTAAATTTCACTTCTGCTCTCTCTATAAACAGAATCTACAAATATAATCAACTCTAATCAACAGCAATTTGATATAATATATTGAAGACATGTATAACAAATTGTAACCAATGGAGGTCAAATTCATACAAAGAAGATTGCTCATTAGACCCAGAATCCATAGGCTGTTCCCTTGTGTTGTGTTCTCTTGAGGCGTGTGCAATGTACGATGGGAAGATAGAAAAACAAAAATAGTCTGCATACAAACGTTGATGAGAGAGCAAATAAACCGAAACACAACTGCAATCTGTTGTTTTTATTCATCTCTATGATTAACACCACTATTGAAAATCAGGAGGATGAGAAGGATGCCGCTGTTGCATTTATTTTCCTCGTTGATGTTTATCTCTGAAGACTTCTTACCTCCTCAATTAAATCAGTTTTAGTCATATTGATCATATTGATAATGACAACAAATTTCAATAGTTTAGATGCAATATCGTATTTGTAATTGCGTGTTCCATCTTGTGCAGTTGCAAAAGAATGGACAAGTTCATTGTTTATTGTCCAGATTAAAAGACCACATGTTCCGTGTACAAGGCCACAACAAAGGTTCTTCATGGTCACAAGGGAATACGCCACAAGGGAACAGCCTATGGATACTAGGCCTAAAGTAATTCACCTTTATCACATGTATATATTTCTTATCTTATCCACACTTACTATTGTCTATCTGGTGATCTGGTTTCACACTAACCCCCCTATTATTCCTTAAAATTAAGATACTTATAATTTCAGGTGTCCTTGATAATTCAGTATTATCGGTTAGTTCAGCCTTCCCTATTATGAAGTCAGATATAGATCACCATAATGCTAAAGTTTGGCACTTGGTAAGTAATTTGTAATTCTATATTAATTTTATATAGCTCAATATCAGCTTTCTATACCACAATTTAGTTTTGTTGTAACTTTCAGAATATTATCAACATTTTCATATGCAGTTATTACAAATGACGTAATAGCCATACTAACTGCACATAAGAATTTATGTAAAGGAGAGACAACAGTTGAACTGAGACGAGAACAGAATTCTGACAAGTACTATGGCTTGTGGACAACATACTAACCAGTATTATATCTGTTATCTAGGTAAAACAAGATGATGTACAACAGAGAGATGGAGGAGTTAAAATGATATCAGAAATATTCCTGACTAGATTACTTTCAACCAAGGTGAGAACACTTCAATTTATGTTTTTTCATTATTCCATTTTTAGTCAAATGTTAAGTGCTTTTCATATTTCTTAGTAACAACAGTCATTTTACTATGTTACCTTTATGAATGTGTTTTGATTTTAACTTACCAATTTTCATGTTTAAGCTCAATAAGTATTCCAACTCATATTGAGAAAATAAAAATTATTTATCATCCCATAATGAAACAACTTTTATTTCAATTTCAGGGTACACTACAGAAATATATTGATGATTTCTTCCGAACTATTTTAACTCAGACCTATAATCTACCACCTGTGATAAAATATTTATTTGATTTCCTTGATGATGCAGCAGAGCATCATGGGATTACTGATCCCGATGTTGTACATACATGGAAATGTAATAGGTATGTTTTTTTGAATAATTAGTCAAATTTCTCTTTATAAGACATAGTGCAAACTGCAGTGTCGCACATCTTTCTTTCTAAGAAATTCTAGGTCTGAATGTTTTTTCTTTCATTGATTCAGAAATTGGTTCATTGAATTTTACTTTTCCCTCATCCTGCTGCTCTTCTGAAAGATTCTTTTCCCCGAAATACATTTTTGATCACAACTGTACAAACTACATTCTTCTCATTTTGTTTTTTCAGTTTACCATTAAGATTTTGGATCAATATTATAAAGAATCCTGATTTTGTGTTTGATATTCACAAACCACTTATTGTTGATTCTTGTTTGTCTGTTGTTGCTCAAACTTTTATGGATAGTTGTTCTACATCTGAACATCGTCTAGGAAAGGTAAGTGTTAATAAATATATAGTATGATTATTTCATGCTTTCAATTATTATTTAGAGGTAAAGATCATATAAAAATATAGATAAATTTTTACGATGAACTTGTTTTCGGTTTTGCAGTACTTTTCAACAATTCATAAATAATTATATCAATAATTAATATTGTAATCAATAATTAACATTGTTCCCAACAATAAATATTTTTATGAAAATTGGCTTGTACTATCAACTTAGCATTAATGTAACTAATAGAGAATTGATTATTTTACAGGATTCACCAAGTAATAAGTTATTATTTGCAAGAGATATAGTCCATTATAGAAAATTAGTAGAAAAATACTTCACTGATATCAGAGAAAGTCCCACTATTAGTGATCAAGATATGAATTCTTACTTAGCAGAGATATCTCGGGTGAGTGGTGCTTTAACTTTATTTTCTCATTGAGTATTAAAGTAGGAGGATAACCCATCACATATTGTCATTATTCTTTCAGCCCTAGTGTAGGTCTGTGTTCTAATGGATTATTGATTATTGAAATTGATTATCCTCAGATTAAGAATGTTCTGCCATGACTTCATTTAAATTCATTCATTTTTATCTTTTGCAGATGTCTTGTGGAAAGTTTTACATTTCTAGTGCTTTACGTGAACTATATACTTACGTGTCTAAATATAGTAACGAACTCGTCGAGGCCTTAGAGTCTGATAATATTGCCAAGGCTCAACAATTAGAAACCAAATTAGGACAGGTTATTACTGCCATGGAGGGCCCATCAAGTCGTATTGCGTATGTGTAAAGGTTTAGTATGAGATAGTCATTACGTACATGATTCTTAAATCACCAGGGTAACGAATGTGTATTATTTGTGCAATTTGTATTGTGAAAGCAGACACATGACCTTACGAAATCCAAAATCTGCTTTTAGACTGTAAAAGCAGATTATGAAATCCAGTATTTATTTTATAGTGAAATCCATGAATGTCTGATAAGAACCTTATCATGTTCAAACTATATATCAGTTTTACATTCCTTTCATTTCATATGATTGTTTGTATGTGCTGTGTTGAATCTGCAAATATTTGGAGAAATCTTCTTTGAAATTGAAATGTAAGATGGCTGTTGTGCTTTCCATGTGAAAACCAATTAAACCCTTTTTCTGTGATGACTTCAGTGGAAAGCCATGGAGGAATAGTAGTAACAATTTGTTCAAACAAATGTGCTTAATATTCACAGTTTGAATTGAAATCAAGAGGACCCTTTTACCCTCCAAATTGAAAACTTTGTTGCTATGACAACTGAAAGTAACCCTTAAAAGGAGATATTAATAATCTTCCAAATAAACTATATAGCCATTTAATGGTTGAAATATAGACATTATTGTGATGGTGCTAATTTTAACAACATGAAAAAAATAATGTTTTTGCAATGGTAAAACCATATGTCTTTCAAATAAATCACACAGCTCAGCTTTGTGGTGTTTCTTTTTTCTTATTTTAGTCTTTTTTTATTTCTAGCTTGTCAGCTAATTGGGTAATAATAATAATAATTTTTGTTAGTTGTTATTAAAAACGGTGCTTCCAAAAATTGCATACATTATTCGAAACATGTAGAAGTTCTTGTTTGCAAAGATAGCAATTCCGAAAGATCAGAAATCCAAACCACTAATAAATGTGGAATTTTATGAAGGAGTGATAGGATATAGTTCTACAAATTTTCGAATAATTTAATCCATATATAACTATGTAGATCATACTAGCTTAGTTTAATAAAAACCATGCCATGAACTTCTGCTATGCAATTTGATGAAGACTATTTTCAAATGAAGCCTATGTGTGAGTGTTTATTTCATTTCTATGCATATTAATGTAACATTATGTTTGATACATCATATTATGTATAATATGTTATATAAAGTTGTAAACAAATCATCAATGTCATTGAACATCAAAATCTTAGTTTTCTTGGTTGTATCCTTGAAAATATTTCATTTTGACTTTATGATGAAGAAAGAATTAGGAATCATTGTTCTGTTTGTCATGAAATGATTTCTTGGTACAATGCCTTAAAATTATTGATAAAAACAGATTTTACGCTTTGTTTTATAAGCATACATGTAGCATTTCGGATTTGACATTGAAATTTTGTTTCATTTAAATTCATTCAGGATGTAAATATTAGTAAATAATGTAATATAATTTAAATATACAAAAACTTATATAAGGATAATTTTGAATGAATGTGTGTTTTTGAAATGGTATTTTAATAATTTATTCATCATTCATTAGTCCCTAATTATTTATTCTTAATAATTATTCAATTTATATTCTATATCTTAGTTTGACTATTCCTCTTAATCAAATTTATACGGACAATAATTTGAATCTGCTATCAATAAACAATTAAGAACTTGGTTTGTATATCTTTCAGTTTTTAAGAAGTGTGGTTTTTGAAGTTTAGTATTAAAGTCATCTAAGGTTGTAATTTTATAAGGGTTATATTCAAGTTGCCATATTTAAAAAACAATTATTTTATTCAAGATATGAATAGTAACCTTTTAATTTGCAGGAACTCAATGCAACATGTGACAGAAATCCTTTCTATATTTATTTCCTTTAATGTTTAATGAAAACCATTATTTGTTTGTTTATGTAAAAATGGCCAACTTGCCATGATTTCGTTTTGAGTATTTGAATGAATAATTGATAATCATATTCTAATAATATTTATAAATATTAAAAAAATATCAAATATAATTATCTTTTATCAACTTTCTGGTTTTTACCATTTGCTGCTATTTGGGTAGAAGTTAAAGGAATAATATGTCTTAGAATGAAGATAAAATTTACGAATTTTAAGCTTGGCCAATAAGAGCATATATTCATCAGTAGATATACCCGGTGTCATAAATAACATAACAGGATCCTTATATAATCCTATAGATCCAAATAACTTAGTAATTATCCATAAATATGCAATAAACTATACACTATATTAATTCACATAATATTAAGATTAAGCTTTTTTCAATAATTACATAGTTTTATGAATTTTCCAGATTTACAGGGATGCTGTTGTAACTTTATGACACCTGGTAAGTTCACTGATGAATATATACTCATATTGACCAAATTAGATTTTATGTTCATTCTAAGACGTATCACTTTAAGACAGTTCTCAATGCAGTTTCCTGTGATGTAAGTTGGACTAAAAGACATGTAGAAGATTGTCTGATTGTTGTGTTTGCCAAATATCCCTTATTAGTCAAGAAGAGTGGGCTCGCAATGCTACCTACCTGCCATACATTGGTCTGAAATATATGATGTAGGGTAAACATGCTAATTATCAGCAGCCTCCTTATGCTAATTATCAGCAGCCTCCTTTAAAGGTATTTAAAGGAGGTTTTTCTTGCCCCTGTATGTGTATAGACAAATCAAGGCAAATAAGGTTGAGGAGAGGTGACCTCATAATCTGATCAAGTTTACTTTAAATTGAAGAAACCATTAAATGAGAGATCAGAATACAAATAGAAGCTGTAAGTGTGGAAATACTCATAAAAAAGCCTGAAAACCTTTGAATCCTTCACAAATATAACAAAATATTTCTTCAGAACAAGCCAACGTGGAAGAGACTGAATAAGCAAATTCTGTGCTATTGATATTATTCTGTAATTCAGACAAATAATATAATGTACAAACTCTTTAACCTAATAGAATTGTTTATTCAATAAAAGATATTCAGTATGGTAAGTAATTAACAGTACATATTTACTATACATAACACATGACCAAATTTCAGGCAAGGCATGTTAATATCCATGCACAAAATTATGTTCTGATACGAATGAATCATTCTCAATGACAGTGTAAATGCTTCGAAAATGTCTTGGTCACTTATGGCATGGTTATTTCTATATAATATGATCTATTGCCTTCTAATTAAAGTGGAAGTATGCACCAATTTATTTAGATATATTTTAAAAACGATATAAAAATATTAATACTGAAGTTGAGACTTCAAAGGAATCTTTAAATATAAACATTTTGTACTTTGTTGTTGAAGAAGTCTGTTATACCATAACATATTCCCTTATGTTTTTTGATATATTACCATGTTTACAAAAATTAATACATGCTAATAGTAGACATGCTTTTTTTTTTTAAATATTCAAATCATTTATTTTGAAGCTGGTACATGCTTCCACTAAAGGCATCTGAAAGTACATGTATATCAAAAGATGCAGTGGTACTTGTCATGGTAAACATTTGAATTTCTAAAATACCTGTTTGCAATATGAAGTTTTAAAAATATAATATGTAGGTAATATATGTAACTTAAAATAAACAATAACAAAATAAAATATAGATATTAAAATATCAATTAAAAATTTCAAATATTAATAATTCTAAATATATCTATGAATAAACTCTATATTTTTTATATTAGTTATATCATTAAAATATGTTAAACAAAAATAGAGGGTTAGCCAATAATCTGTTTGAATCTGAAAATTTTACCTTAAAAAAAATGAAAACAAGTCATGCCACTGTATGAAGAATTTGGAGCGAAATTGAAAGTCATTCAGAATTCAAAAACTACATTTGTGTCATACAGTCATGGGTCAATTTGTCATAATTCGATAGGATTGATAGAAATTACAATGTTCCTTAGAAACAGTCCTGAAACAGATATTTTAAAACCACTAGATCTAAGGGAAATAACTACACTCAGTTTATAGGATAATGACCACAATTGAACTTTTACTGAGTAAAAACGTACCTCCAAGTGCAAGAAAAAGTACCTAAAGAAGAAAATGAGGTTATTAGTGATTTTAATTAAATTTTGCGACAGATTTGTCATTATAGGTCAATAAATGGATAAATATAGATATTGATAATTAATAATTTGTAAACTATCTGTTTTAGAGGTCTATATGGTATATTGGCTATAACTAACAATAAATTCTATAATAATAAGCAGTATATATTTGT